AGAAACTGTAGTCTCCCTTTTAATGATGTTCCAACAGATCTTTCATGGAAAAGCTCCCAAGTCGGGAGGGCGGGAGGGAGAAGACGCAGAGAGGCTGTTCCATGAAGGAGACACCTAGTCAGACTTGCTGGTGTTTAAGCTGAAAGGACTCTCTACTTCAGAAACCCATTTCCATGGAAAAAGAATAAGATAATCAGTTTTCTTCACTTCTATTTTCTTTGCTGTCCTCCTCAAACCATATTAATTGCTTTGTTGTTTCAAAGCCTAACCAATTTCAACATTGTCATAAATTATGTCTCTATAATAAAACTTCTGAGTCATAAACATCAGCCAATATTTCTTCCTGTTTTCCATTAAGACACTGCTTTCTTTCCCATTTTTTTTCTTCATTTTTTTGTGATTTATGTCTTGAAAGACATTTTGCTTTCTTATGAATCCAGCTGCTGTGGTGAAAACGTTACTGTACTTTGACCCACATGGTTTTCAAAAGCTGAAGCAAAATGCTAAAAAAAAAACTGCTCAGTACATTTTAATGTGATAAAAGGAATAAAAGGATACATTCTCACTATTACAACATCTTGCCACAAGCTAGTCTTCAAAAAAAAGAAAAAAAAAAGGCAGTGCATGATTTAAAAAAAAAAAAAAAAAGAAAAAAGAAAAAAGGTTTCAAAGTAGTCATGCCAAGAAATAATCTAGTGAGAAATTACCAGTCTATTTACAAATTAATAAACCAAGAATAAAGCTTTTTGCTTCTTAAATTCAACTTAGGATCTCATAGCTATAATTCTACTCAGTGAAGCAAAATCTAATTGGAAAATTACTTCCTTGCCATCATTATAGAATACTGAAGAAGAATATTCCTGATATAATTTAATTATTTCAATTACCTACTCTATTCTGAAGGAATGGCATTGCATTGTCTTGGCAAGACAGATACATGCTTTAAAAAAATCAAACTGAAAGAAATATGATCCATTATAGGAAAGGTTTTTGTGACAAGTGGAGGAAAAAACTAAATATTCTTAGGAAAGAAACCAGCTTCATTTGTCAGTTAGAAAAGGCAAAGAGATGAAATAAAAGAAATGTTGCTTCACAAATTACCCTGATAGAGATTATGAGCTCAGGTACACTGTTGATACCAAACCCATTTTTATAGTAGCTAAGAGTAGATGTTTGGGGAAGAGCCTTAGCAAGGGGAAGCACATGAGGATGCTCCCCCTTAGGTGCTTCCAGCCTCCTCAGTTTGTGCAGCAGGTTCTGGAGCTTTCTGCCTCAGAGCAGGTTGCTTTGTGCTTAGCAGCCCTTAATTAATTGTTTTCTTCCATGAATTTCCTTTGTTGTTCTTGACCTTGTGTGAATTTTTAGCATCCATTCTGGGCAACGCGTCCCATCGCTGAATTATGCAGTTAATTTTGGACCACAGGGTATTTGTAACTTTTTGTTTCTTGCTGCGCAGTACATCTATGTTTTCTTGGATACAGCTATTAAAACACTGTGAAGGCGTTTGGGTCATCAGAGCGATGTCAGTGCTCAGAGTGGTCTGTGCCAAGCTGGGCTCCCCTCACATGCAGCTCTCCTCTGCGTTCACTTTCATCGATCTTGTTCTTCTGAAGGTTTAATCGCTGGGAAAGATCTGCAGGGCGTTTCTGCAAGTCTTGGTAGTTGGCTTCTAGTGTTGGCCTGCAGAACTGACCGACTGCCACGAAAACAAAAGCAAAGTTTATGCCCTTGCTTGTTTGTTTAACCAGCTTTAAAGTGGCTGTTTATCCGTGTTGGGCTCTCTCCAGCTCCCAGCAAACTGAGGACTCCAAGAGCAGCCAGCGGCAGCGAATTGTGTTTGTACCTTCCCGTTCGCTACGGTGAGACCGCCTGCTCCGAGCTCGAAATACCCTCAATTTCCACCTCCCCTTGTGGGGGCAGCCCTTATGTACGGATCTTTCAACTGCAGACAGTCAGTGCCCACGTAAAGCGGGGACAGACCCGACCCAGGCACCAGCTAACGCGGCGGGGCCCTGTGGCGCGGGGGATGAGCAGCTCCGGCCGCCTCCCACCGCCCCGCGCCACGGAACAGAAATGCAGGAAATGCTGCTTTTTTTGACAGGTAACTTTATTAATAATGATCCCGACTCTGTCGCACCTAGCGGGTGCCAGTCTTTTTTCACACTCTGCAAGACTTTCTGGAGAATAAACTAGAAAGGCAGACAGTTAGTTGAAGCTACTAAGACACACGTTTGTAGGTGGGTCTATTTTGGATTTTTTTTTTCATTTTGTTTTACAGAGGTTTCCGTGAATGTGTGTCAAAAAACTTAAATACATTGAGAAATACAGTAGAAAGACTATATTTACAGTCAATTAAAATGGGCACTGCCAACATATCCAATAACAAAAATAAAACAAAAACTTTTTTCATGTTTCTTTCATGTTTTTTTCACAGAGATTTTTAAATATGAATTTGTTTTTTAAAAAATACAATAAGCAAATAATTACATTCTTAATATGAGAACATTATCTTACAACATACAGCCTCGGCCAATTAGTTTGAAAGTGACTTAAATGAAAATTGCTATGAAAGTATTCCCCATTTGAAAAATCAAATTGCCACAATCATTAAAAAATCCTGTGATCCCCCAAATTATGATCCGTTTTTTTTTTAAAAAAGCATCACCCATAACAAAAAAAAATATATAAAAAGCACCTGGTACAGTAATAAGAGTTTGCTGAGGAAGCACAAGTGTAACATTATCTCAAAAGACACAGAAATGCAATGGTTTAAAATACAAGAATTTTCTTTAAAGGAAAAAAAGTCATACTGCTCTATTGCTGACTTTGCCTGGTGATTCTGAAATCCAAAACCATTGGAAATACAAGGTCTATTGTTTTTTATTAAAAAAATGTACAGCAATAGTACTATTCAACGAAATATTGTGTGTATTTCACAGCACTACATGTGGTCTACGGCGAGGTTATTTCTGGGCGTGTTGTTTTCTTCCATACAAACCTCGGCCCTTGGGTCGAATGGATGTGTCACGAAATGTGGAGCACGACCCGCTGGCGACGGGCAGGAGGGAGATTCCCGCCGGGAACCCTCGGCCGCAAGAGGAATTTGTGCTTGGGGTGGGTTGGGAACAAACCCTGTCGCTCCACATGTTTTTAATGGCACAGGGGGTGGGCGAGCGCCACCGCCTCAGGGTTATTTGGCTTTTGACAGGTCTGTGGTACTTGAGGTGGGACCACTTGTTAATGGCAACGGTCACAACATTGCAAATGTTGACTAGACGCCTAATTTCCATCATAAATATGTACACATATAAATTAAATATTTATTGAAATATACAAATAAATAACTTAATTTGAAATAAAAAGCCTAAATGAACTTACTTTTGCTTCAAATTTGCTTCTGCTAATATTTATGGGATACTTGATAACTGTTTAGTCCATAGTCATACAGCATAGAGTGTGCCCTCCACTTACGAGGAGTTAATAAGTAAGCAGATGACCTAAAGTAAAATAGGAATCGTGTTTTCAATGGAAACCACTTGCTTCCTTGCTGTGCTGGCGTTCCTGAGGTGTGCTGCGTGAAGCAGACTCCCGGGAAGCAAGAGCCCGTTGTCATTTTGCACCTCATTTCTGCTCTGTTAAGGCCCATGAGATCCCTGGCAGTAATTTTGCTTGGAAACAGGCTAAAGCACCAAAATGGGTCGATCATTATGGACCTGCTTTCCAAAAGCCCTCAGCAGTCGCCATGGGCTGGTTTTGGAGAGCTGCTGAGTATCAGGTCTTTCTCTTAACTTTGTGCTGTGGTCCCAGGCCTGTTCACACTACCAGGTCCTGCAGGCTGTTCCGCAGCATCCGTCTGAGCTTGGAATACCAGGGAACACTTGAGCAGTTAGTTACATATGTTTTGTACTGGAGGTTACAGGAAAAAATATAGGCCTGGGCAAGAACTAGATTTGATCCTCAGTTAAGTGCTCTGTTGCCAACTTCTGTGATTTTAAGTGTGAGTCTTGACTAATCATCAAGATTCTGGCCCTAATGTCTTGTGATAATCTCAAACTATAAGTAGTATTTCACGCTTTTTTAATTAAAGTCATTTTCGAGTCCTTATGATTGAGGAGAAAAATCTTAAGAATGTGATTGAAGACTCTCTGAAGGATTAAAAAACCCCACAGAGGACACATTAAACCAATCCAACTCATTATTTCTTCTCTCTCCTGATTTTTAAGTTAATCTTGAGATTTTTGAAGGACTTTGGCAATTTACTGCACGTAGCCTCAGGAATGACATGGATAGAGACAAAGACAAACAGTTTTCTGTAATTTTGCAGGCTAAAAAGCAAGGCACAGTTTCCTAGTAAACAGAAATAGAGTCCTGTCTGAAAAAAAATCCCCAATTGTTTGTAAAAGCATTTATAAAAAAGCCTGGAGAGTCTGACTTCCTCACAAAATAATAGCCGAGGTCAGAAAAGGCGAAGGAAACCAAGTACAGCAGTGTTCCGTAACTCAAGTTCAACAATACTGCATTATAAAAACTGAAATGACTGCATAAACTACTTTCAGTTGCCATTATCTGTTGAGGATTTTTTTTTTTTTGAAAAGTACAGAAATGAAGTAATATCTTGCTTTTAAAGAAACAGGAACAAATCCTTTTAAAACAACATGATCTTTGAAAATGGTGCTTCAAAATAGTATAGAAGAGGATGTATTACGATGCATTTTTAAAAGTATGGCAGCTTTTTATGTCACAATGACAAAAGCATCTGTCTAAAAAGTATCAAAAAAAATGCTTCACCGCTGAGTTGTGTCACTCCATGGTCTCTAATCACCACAGAGGATGGTGGCACCAAAGAGTCGAGGCTCCTCAGCTCAAGCAGCTCATGCCATTTCTGTGAAGACATTTCCTCGCTTTACTTTTGCCCTGTGAACAGCTAACAGCAAAATGACTGCAAACGAGCAAATCTTCTCTCAGGCACTGCTCTGGCAGCATCCCGAAAGTTGGCATCACCTTAGGAGCACGTCAATTCTGAAGGATTTCACATTGGTCTTCAGTAACGCACCAGTCTGCAGGGCTGTTCAGGCCATCTGATGCAGCACCATTAACATTGTTGGTCTAAACTCTTTCCTGCAAAGTAAACTTTCAGTAGCAACTATATGCTCCTTTTTACTTACTATCACTGTTTTGGCTTTTGGTTTTCATTTTCTGTACAAATGAAGTTGGAAACAAGGAGTTACAGGTAATAAAAGGGGGCACACATAGTTACACAGCAATACAGTAGAGGGAATACAGACAAATGAGGGCCAAGCTACCATTAACTTAACAGAATTATAAAACCTCTTACGTCGTATCACTCGATACCACTTTGCAGCTGAGTCTTTTGCAGCCTGTGTCTTGGTCCATAACAGGTAAGGCCTTTATGGAAAGTGAGTGGTTTTGCTACATTTACTTATGTTCCATTTTTCATCTCCCATTCCTGAAAGTGGAGAAAAAAAAATACGAAAAACGTTAAAGAAATCAGGGTATTTCACTGATGTCATCACCTCCACGCAGCCAAAGGCAGCTGAGGTCAGGAACAGTTTTTCCATTGACTTTACTGGATCCAGCCCACAGATTAGTTGGGGAATGCTAACAAGTGGTCCTGGTGGCGTCCCTGCAGAGCCACAGCTTCCCGTCTCGGCTTCTTAACTATGCACTTTTTTCCCATACACATCCTCAGAGCTGAGCTGGGTCGCTTGGCGATGTCACTTTACTTTTCCAGGCCTCAGTTTCCCCTCTTGGCAGAAGCAGCAGCTATGGAGCCTATCCATAGGCGCAGCCCCTGTAGGATGTCATAGGGAGCATGGGAGTCCCCAGCCTGGGGCCATCCCTGCGGAGCAATCGCCGGCCGCTCCGTGGCGGGATCCGGGGCTCCGGACACCTTTCCCACTTCCTCAGCACGGAGGCTCTGCAGGCGGCCGGCTGCTTGGCTCCCAGTGCGGATTCCTGGCTTTAACACTGATCCCACAATGTGCCAGAGCTCTAGCTGAGAACTGCTGCGTAGCCAAGCGCGGGGCTGCTGCTGCTGCTGCAGGCAGTAACGGCATCAGTTTGGCTAAGCAGCTGCATGACCGTGACTGCTTCTCCACCAGGGTAAAGCAACAGGGAAGGTCACAGCTGGGGGCTTTGGGGCTAGAAGGAAAAAAAAAATCTGGCTTTCAAGGAGGTAAATACTCTTTTTATTATTAATTGTACTTTTAAATTTAAAAGTTTAAAAATTAAAAGTAAAATATAATTCAGGCGTAGTATTCAGTTTTACATCTCAAATTATGATAAACCTGATTTTGAAACACTTTACTGGTAATTATTTGGCTAGATAACTTTAAAAAGAATACATTAAATCTATACTCTCCATATATAAGCTGCCCAAGCTCTAAAAGGAGTCATTGGCTAAGCAGCTGGGAACACTGTTTCTTCAAGTGTTAAGTTGGCCTTGAAAGCAGTAGTTCCTTTGGCAGGTGTGGGAGGAAGGGATCCTTTGTTTTTATTTCTCCAGGTAGTTCAAGCCTATGAAGGGAATGTTTAAGTCAACATTGACTGGGAGTTGGAAAACTGGAAGAGCTTGTTTTCTTTTCCAGACCCTGGGCATAGGCATAAAGCAACATGGAAGCTGCTGACATTCAGTGCAGGAAATGGCACTGATTGCTCCAGAACAATTTGCGTTTAGGAACTGATTTTAAACACAAAGCATGCTTGAATAATTGTTTCTTAAAATATTTTTTCTTAAATAGCAAGGGTACTGCCCGTATTTTACTTACTTAACTAGCAATGTCAATGCTAATTGTTATTTTGCATATTTTAATACAGTTCCCATTTCCAGCCAACTAGAGATAGGAAAAAAAAATCACAATTAAAAATTATTTCTGGCTACTTAAAAATAAGCAATACTACTTTCAAAAAAGTATTAAACAATATTTAAGTTAAAACCAGAAAAGTCAACAATCCGAATATGCGTGTATGTACAGTGTTTGCCCTACATACTCACCATCCACATGGCTAGCAATGAACACTGGAGAGAGCAAAAAAAAAAAAAAAAGAGAGAAAAAAAAAAAATCTAATGTTTTCAAGGGTTACACAACCCTTCTTAACATTGGGAGATTTGCCAGGCGCGGAGGACACGAGTGTTAGCACGGACATGGAAGGAGCCTCACTCCCATGTGCTGTGCTCGCACCCAGCCAGGTTCTGCTCCCTTTGCTCGCCGCATCCACAAGGCCTGGGCTCGCTCCGAGCTGCAGGATGCCGAGGGCAGCAATCCCGCCGGATCCCCCCTCGCGGCCGCACACCGGCCCCGCGGGATGCAGCCGTGCTGCGGCACGGGCCTCGTGGCAGCACCCAGCCCCAGCGCAAGGCGAACGGCTGCTCGGGTGGCGCTAGCAAAACTTCACATTTAGTGCATGAGGTTTTAGGGAAAAGCAGTTAAGGATACATGGCCTTATTTTTTTTTTTTCCTGGGATGAGGACTGTGCCTAGTAGCTCCATAGCCTTTCTCAATAGTGTCTTCTTGTATCTGAGATTCTGCTGAGAATTCTGCTGAGATTCTGCTGACCAACTTACTGTGCCCTACCAAACATGACCTCCGAGTCAAGCAACGCAGCAAACCTTTCCTGTATGGCATATGCTGAGCATATGAACGACAACTCTAAGGTATTCTTTACACCAAAAACGCTCACGTTGTATCGCCGTTGCTTACATGCTGCCTACATGCTACTCAGGAACTTTTTTTTAATGTTGCTAACCAATGTAGCTCTCAAGAATTGTCATGCAAATTTCATTTAATGGGAGGCACAAACATTAAAAAACTGTAACAGTGCTACAGGAACACAAATTCAGCTGGTACTTGTCAGGCTAAATTAAATTATTTCAATTTCTACTTTAAATGTAAATTAAGGGTAGATAACTGCACACTACATTTTCAGTTACTGTAGCTTACAGCTAATCTGTTTGTGCATCAGCTCATTAGACATAATTTTATTTTTTTTTTCAGAAAACTTACTATACCAAAGCTCTTAACCCCCTTATGGGGTTAAGCACACCTTTCTCAATTTTAAATGGACTGACTGCAGCACAGGCCACTTACCTTGCAAATGAAATTTTTAAAAACATAGAGAAAGAGTGAGAGGGGGAAATCCTTCTCCCAAAGTATTTTTCAGTTCCTCTGCAAATCGTTCCCAAACCATTCCTGACTGGAGGATGAGGGTGCAGTATTTATCTAGTAATGTAAATAACCTAAACATGTCACCAGCTTTTCTCAAAGCTGAATTTCACCCACAGAATTTTAAGCAGGAGCAATCTCTCTCTCTCGCCACCATCAAGATTTTTTTTTTAAAAAAGTAAGTAAGACTATTGGCAAGGCTTCTCACCTTTGCTTTTCGGAGTACATGACCTCGACAAGGAGAATTATTTGAGGAAGGAGGTCGCTTCAGAGCTGCTGCACTGTTCACAGGTATCGAGCATTCAGTATCGCTAGTATCACAGCTGGAGATGGGGGAGTTTTCCAAAGTTCGGTGCTTGAAAATTGGGGACTAGTAAAGAGTAAAAATTCTACATTGAGTATCATCCAAATAGTCACATGGGCAATGTCATCTCTCCAGAATTAGAAACATAGATTAAAAAAAAAAAAACCATTAAAAAAGTAACAAATAGAAATGGGAAAAATAAAAAATAAGTTAAAAGAAGTAAACAAATTAAAGAACATGTTCTGGATGACAATATTCATTCTCTGTGATTAAGCAACAGTGGGGTCAAATGGAGGGATCAAAACATCACTCATTGACCCAACTATAATATCATAATACGAGGATTAAGTATGTACATGCTGCCTATGATTCCCCTGTCTACTCGAAACCTGTTGCTGCAGAAAGTACATAGGGTGCAGGTGAAGGATGCCAGTAAGGCAGAAATGAATTTAGCTCTGTTCTTACTTCCTGGCCTTAAGGAAGCTGCTGAAAACTCTCAGTTCCCACTGTTTCCATTGGCACAGCCCTAGGCGGTCGGATTCCAGTGTATAAAGGCTGTGCCTACCTGAGGGCTGGATGTTCCTGATTTGGGCTCGATGGCCAAGCCCAGGGTGATGCCGCCCGCCAAGGCTTTCTTCAGGCTCTCCTTCACCTCCGTCAGCTCCAGCTCCAGGTTTACACGCTCGGCCTCCTTCTGCTTACACTCCTCCTCCAGCTTCTTCAGCTTGTCTTCAAGAATCACTTGAGTCTTCCTGCCTGTCGCCAACAGCAATGTTGTTATTATTATTCCAACAAGAAGCTTAAATTAAAACTTACAACTCCTACTTTTTAATTTTAAAAAAAAGAAAACAAGGAATGTGGTCTCTAAAAAAAATAATCACTGACCACAAAAAAATGCGTTCTTTGCAAAACCCTTTTTTATCAGGGAAAATGTTAGCAAGAAAAAAAAAACCCAAACACTGTCTTTGAGGTGCCTTCTTTAGTTTTTAGCTGGTTTCAAACTGGTAGTTGTTTCATTGTTTGTCCATATCATAGAAGTATAATTAGCTGGTCATAAGAACTGTTCCCACAGGCTGCTGGAGAACGAGTGGCTTCAGGCCCCACCACTGCCATTTCTAGCTGACACAAATGAATCAGTTAACCTCTGTGTGTGTGTGTGTGTGTGTATGTATGAATAAATAAATATATGTACATACACACACAAACATAAAAATGTATATAAAAAACAAATACAGCCATTACAGACTACAGCTTTACTTCAAAATCAAACTCATGTAGTGCTACATCTTCAGCCCAGGACAGAAACCCATTTGGGCCAGTAACTTGACCAAGTCAGCCCCTAGAGCCACCCCTACCAGCATTGACTTCAATGGCAGCTCGGAGATCCTTCCTTTCCTTTCGGAGCTGGGCCAGCCGATTCCGGAGCGCTTCTTTCCTCTTGAGCAATTCTTCCTCTTTGCCCTGCAGCCGCTTCGCGTCGGCCTCCACGCGGTTCTTGCCGTACTTGTACTGCTCGGCATCTGCACGAATGACACTGCCGTCACGGACCTCATCCCGCGCGCTTCCCAATGAAATTACCTTGGTTCTGGACATGGGACCCTTTTACTCTCAGTGAAGCCTGAACCAATTCCCTGAAACTCAACATCACAGAGCCTATTTTGTGTTTTGAGAAACCAGCTTGGCCTTTCTGTTCCACTCACTTTTTCCT